CATCGCTGTTACTCCAGTCAGCTCGTGACCACGGCTAGTGCAACCTAGTCGAAACGTCGAGAGAGGTAAATACCTTTATTTGCCATAAAATTATTCGTGTTAAGACCCGGTTAATAATTTAAATAATGAGGTATTTATATTTATACTAGCAGATACGGCCACGCGCTGCTGTGACTAAGGTTCTAGAATAAAATAATATTGCATCTATAAATTGAGATGTAAGCTATCCTATCTTTCAAGGATCAGATTGCACACAATGTGCAAATCAAATTTGCAATCGAACAGTAGTTTAGGAGTCCATCGCGGACCGACCTGCTCTCATGCTCATCTTATCATCCTCCACTGGTGACCAGCGTAAACCGTACGCGGGCGCACCATTCCATTAAAAAACACGAGATGTGCTTAGCTTGGTAATAGATGGCGCTGTGAGTTACCTAGAGATATTATTATTATAAAAAATAGCGTATAATAAGTAAGGAGAGTGTACAATTCTATTATCAACCATAAAGTTTTGTGTTCTATATCTATTTGTTGCATGTTATTATTGTTGTTTCTTTCTTTCTTTCTATTGGTGGTGTTTATATATATAATATTGTTGACAATTGTGAAATAATTAGATACTTATGTACTTATTTAATAATTTATCTGAACAAAAGACGAAATCTTTGATTGCCTAAACACAAACCGGAAGAAGGTCAAGGTGAAAGAAATAATCACAGATAATAAGAAAAAAACAGAGAACACAAAAGTTGTACAGAGTAGGTTACTTTACGATAGATATTAAAATATTCTAACAAATATGTTATGTTATTCATTATTATTAATTTGTTATTATTATTATTGTTTTTTCTCTTCTATTCTAGTGCCACCTCCCACCTTTTGTTTTTTCTCTTCTACCCAAAGGTTGCCTGGAAGAGATTGCATAAGCTCTAACCCTCTTAATTTTATTAATGTAATTTTTCTGGTGCAATAAAAGAGTATACCTATAAACAAATAAAATAAATAATAATAATATCTCAGGACAATTCACACAGCGCCATTTAGTCCCAAGATAAGCAGGGCTTGTGTTATGGGTACTATCCAACTGAGATAAATACATGTATATATTTTTTTATAAATAAATACATATTATACATAGAAAACACACAGACCGATACAAACAATCATACTCATGAATACAAATGTTTGTACCGTGCGAGGAATCGAACCCACGACCATCGGATAGTAAAGCAGTATACTAGACCACTAGCCCACGGAGGCTGTCAATAAAAAAATGCATTGTCAGTTCAGCTACCAGTTTCACTCAAGTGGGCCGCCAGCTTGTTTGCAGTCCCAATCAAACAATATAACGCCATGTCAGCACACGTGACCCTCATACAAACAACATACAAGTACATACATCATATTTAGATTAGCGATATTAAGGTCATTAGCTTAATAAGCACGCCCACGATGTAAAACACATACATTTGTAACGCATTAGATTGCTTAGGTCCATTAATATTTATGTTTGTATGATTCACACCAGATGTGATTATTTATAAGTAGTTTGTATGTAGATTAATTTTTTTTTATAGTAGAAATTGAATGCCAAAAATGCAATGGCATATGCAGACAGCCATGCCGCCCATGAGCACCGACAACACCAGGGGAATTGCAAGTACGTTGTCGGCCTTTTAAAAAGGAATAAGCTCTTTTCTTGAAGGTTTCAATATCGTATCGGTTCGGATATACCATTGCTGGAAGGTGATTCCACAATGTGGTTGTGCGAGGCAAAAAGTTTCTAGAAAACCGCACTGTGGAAGACCGCCATTCATCCAGATGATCAGGATGGTATTTCAGTTTCTGGCGGGTGGTACGGTGGTGAAACTCAGCAGCTGGTATTAATCCGAACAATTCCTCAGAACACTCCCCGTGATATATGCGGTAGAAAATGCACAGAGATGCAATATCTCGCCGCAAAGACTTAATGCCTGATGGCATTCTCTACCAGTCAAGTAAGTTTTTTTTTTCGGATTACTCTAATGCTGGCCGCAGCTGGCCTTCACAGCTTCACCGGATGGGGCGAGTGCAGATGATACTCCAAACCAAAGGAAGGACTTATGGAGCGGCTGAAGACCAACTCCCGCCTGACGGATACGACTTTAGTCTGAGGACACCGCTAGGTAGGAGCGATTATTTTTAAATATATGATAATGGAATGGTGCACCCGCCTGCACTAGCGGTTTACGCTGGCGGGGCACCAGTGGAGGATGATAAGATGAGCATGAGGCCAGGTCAGTTAGCACACACAGTTGCCACAGCAGTGGCAAATTCGCTAGGAATTTGTCACGATGGTTTCCAGGGGGAACCGCGTGGAGGTCAACCTGACGTGGTGCATTGCTAGCAATGGGGTCAGTCCACATTACTAACAATCCACTTCCCCACCTGGGGAAATGTTAGTAATATGGACTAATAACCCCATTGCTAACAAAATACCATATCAGGTTAACCTCCTAGATAGAGGTAGATATAGATAGATAAAATCTTTATTCATATCAAAATACATTTTTAAGATTTTGTGTGAACTGAAGACTATAAATCCCTGGATGATTCACACAGCGCACTCCAGTTCTAAAAATCATAATCATGAAAACAAATGTTTATACCGTCCGTAGAATCGAACCCGCGACCGTTGGAAGTCAGGCGGTGTGCTAAACCGCTAGACGACTGTGGCCATCAGATTATACTATATATTAATCCCAAGCTATACAAACCATCATAATCATGAATAAATGACATATGTTTGTACCGTGCGAATCAAACCCGCGATCATTGGAAGTAAGACAGTGTGCTAAACTGCTAAACAACCGAGGCCACCAGATTATATATTGTTATAATGATTACTTGCGATATTTATGTATTCAGGATATATGTAGTTTCAGGGTGCCTCCCCCACCTCCTTCCGCCCCCCTTGATGGCCTACATTAGCGACACACATTCCCAAATCAACCGGATTGGGACCTAGATATTTTGGCAGTCTCTAAAAAACATGCCAATTACGACCGCAACTTCAACGCAGTAAGGTCTATTTTATTAATAAGTGTTGATTAATAGGTGAAATGTATTGTATTTCCTTGTGCTTAAAGTCTATTTTAGACTGCGACTGTTTCGTAGAATGAATTCAAAAACGGTATGCGGCGTCGCGATGCGTGAGTTCAAATTCGGGCGATTTTTAAAAGGCTCTATGTGTACTATGCATACGAAAATTAACTTTATTTTAATAGTGTATAAAGTGTAAAATAGAATGTAGGTTACGGTCGGTTATTTTGTTCGTATGTCACGTCATAGTTTGCATATTCAAAGTGCGCAGTTCGACACAATTGCAACTTTTACTCTCTTTTGAGTAAATAATACCTAAATTATTTCCATCTGCATACTGAGTAATATTATGACGTGCTGACTGACAGTCATGCTATAATGCCCAGTCAGGCGATGACGTAGTGACCCAGGTCACTGAGTATCCTAGTTTTTAATGGATAATTACCAAAATACCTAAAATCTATTATAAGTGTAAGATAGTGTATAAAAATATAAATAATAAAAAAAAATTAAATATAAAACAGACACATGAATGAATAATGTAATATATATATATATATATACATATATCTAGCTGTCCCGGCAAACATTGTTTTGCCTTAAAATTAAAAAAAAAAATTAGGGGTGGACTACCCCTAACATTTAGGGGAGATGAAAAATAGACGTTGGCCGATTCTCATACCTACTCAATACGCTCACAAAATTTCATGAGAATCGGTCAAGCCGTTTCGGAGGAGTATGCGAACGAAAACTGTGACACGAGAATTTTATATATATGGTATATATATACTGCAGGAGCACCTATAGATGATATAACTTTCTTAACAATTGGCTTCCTAGTCGCTGTTACGAGTATTTTTTTATAAATGATAATGTAATGGTGCACCCGCCTGCGCTAACGGTTTACGCTGGCGGGGCACCAGTGGAGGATGATAGGATGAGAATGAAGTCAGGTCAGTTAGCCCATCGTGACAAATTCACCAAGAATTTATCACGATGGTTTCCAGGGGGAACCGCGTGGAGGTCAACCTGACATGGTACATTGCTAGCAATAAGATCATCAATCCACATTACTAACAATCCCCTTTCCCCTCTGTTACGAGTATTATGATTATTATTATTAACCAGGTATATTAATAGAATTATTAATATCTGTCTACTATAGCTTGAAAATGCGCCAGGATTAGAACAAGATGGTCTCCAGGCACGTCTTGTAGTAGACCAGAAAAACTACCATGGGCCCTCGAGGTTTCGGCCTAAGACGGTAAACCCCTAATCTGAGAGACCGCGCGGTGTGTTATCGGATGAATGTAGCATAAATTCGGATAAAAAAAGGGCTCCCAAGAACTTCGATCTCAGATCCTGTAACAGTTGCTTACATAACAGTTGATGGGTCATCACTGTCCCCCGTACATTTAGCGAGCTGATTAAATTTATTCTAGAAATTAACACATTCTGCATCGGATCTGCGTTGATTCTAATACTCTGTTGAAAATCTAACTGCTTGCTTCTACTATCGAAGAGAATGGCTGTATAGACAGAGTCCTTTTGTCACTCCTGGAGACATTAAAACCGAATAAAAAAAATCTAATATGGTGGGACTAGGCTGTACGGTCTAAGGATCTTTGCCTGTTGCATCACTGAAAAGGAGATCGACGAATATGGAAAAAAAAACAAATATGGTGGAAAATGGAGGGAAATTTTGCTGTTAAAGACGGTATATTTATCTTATCTACCTCGAACTTGCCTTTAAAGTTGTTAACATGGAAAGTAAAATAAAATCTGATTAATTAACTTTATTGGTTCCAAAAATACCAACAGCAATCAGTGAAAATAATTACAATAGTAAACTATTATAGAAACAAAATAATATCCTAGATATTAATCAACAATTCTGCAATAGATAGGTAAGTGTCAACTTACAGCCTTCTAACGTCGTTATTTATATTATTTTATTACAAAACAGCGTGACATGCGGATAAATTATTGTTTTTTAATTATAATATTATTCAATTTATTATATTTCAAAGTAAAAATAGAAGATGACTGTAACATATAAAGCCTCCCTTAATAAAACATTAAGCAAAGTTTTACTAGTAACGCCATCTATTGAACGTCAACCAAACTATTATTGTGATCTGAAATATTGCCTATTTTATTTTATATATAGAAATTAAAATTGTTTATTTGCATTTTAATTAATAATGATGAATATTATCAATTTAAAATGCTGGAAAATTAATTGAAATGTTGAGAATTTCATCGAACATTGTGTGAATGAAGGTGTAAAGTCCGCCATTGGTCACAGAATATGAAACAAATATTTTATATGAAAATTACATGTCATATAAATGAAAATAGAATTCGTTATGTAAATAAAGGCAGTTGATTTACCAATATTGTCTTATTATAAAATATAATCAACAGATAACGCTCTTGTTGCGAAATATAATAACAATGTTGTAAATATATTTTGATGGCACGAAATATAAATACTCAATGATTACAAGTAGGGTCAAGTTTGTCAACATTATTGTTATAGTCAATTGACATAATAAATTCTTATCATATTATTATTCTACTAACGTGTAGAAATATACTGAATACTAAATTAATAAAATTAGTAACAACGCCATCTAGTAATACTAATATAAACTATATCAAAATAATCAAAAATAGAAACAGCGACATCTAGCGATCGCGTAGCAAATCAATAAGATAAGTTATAACAATTAACAACTAGAGAGCGCTGTAACAACAAAATTAATGTTACGTTCACTGTCAAAGCCTTACAGTTAAACATTAGATTAAACCAAAATTACATGTTGATATCTACAGAGGACACCTATTCAGTGCAAGTTTGGCAAAGTAAAAAATAGTGTTCTTAGCGTTTGAAGAATAATGAGACGGAGATAAAACGTTCTCCCTTATGAAAATGAGAATAAGTCTCAAATTCCTATGTTACAATCATTGAAGAACAAAATTAATAATTCACAATTACCATCCTACTGAAAAAAATCAACAAAAGCAGCATTTTTTACACATAATAATGTTTTCATATAACAGGATCTTTAGAGAATTAGATATGTCTAATTATCAAAGTCTTGGCGTTAATATAGATCCCTTTATAAGTCAAGACAGGTGTCCTCAGCATGTTCAAAGCATCTTAATAGTTACAGCATCAATTTCTGCTCGAGAGCTGCCCACAGCGGTGCGAGGGGCGCTCCGTAGGCCTCCTGCGGAGTCTCGGGGACGTAGGTCACGTGGCGCGTGGCCGTGACAGGGGCGGGGGCTGAACGGATTCGCCCTGAAGCCATACGGACGCTGCGCATCATGGCAGCTGATTTCATACGTTCTATAATTAGCAATAATTTTTAATAAGTCGTCTGCGTGACGTTCCTCAGTCTCATTTAGTTTAGCCGGCCAGTAACTTTTTTTGTAAGTTGAGTTTTCCTTTATAGGGTGTGAATATGCAGTGAAATTACAGGATAAGAGTCATAACATCTTAGTCTCGTTGGTGCTGAGCAGGCAGTACTTGGCGGTGTGTAGTGTAGTGTAACCTACAACATGTCAACTCACCCTCGCTGGTGCTGAGCGGGCAGTACTTGGCGGCGTGTAGTGTAACCTACTATGCGTCAACTCACCCTCGTTGGTGCTGAGCGGGCAGTACTTGGCGGCGTGTAGTGTAACCTACAATGCGTCAACTCACCCTCGTTGGTGCTGAGCGGGCAGTACTTGGCGGCGTGTAGTGTAATCTACAATGCGTCAACTCACCCTCGTTGGTGCTGAGCGGGCAGTACTTGGCGGCGTGTAGTGTAACCTACAATGCGTCAACTCACCCTCGTTGGTGCTGAGCGGGCAGTACTTGGCGGCGTGTAGTGTAATCTACAATGCGTCAACTCACCCTCGTTGGTGCTGAGCGGGCAGTACTTGGCGGCGTGTAGTGTAATCTACAATGCGTCAACTCACCCTCGTTGGTGCTGAGCGGGCAGTACTTGGCGGCGTGTAGTGTAATCTACAATGCGTCAACTCACCCTCGTTGGTGCTGAGCGGGCAGTACTTGGCGGCGTGTAGTGTAATCTACAATGCGTCAACTCACCCTCGTTGGTGCTGAGCGGGCAGTACTTGGCGGCTTGTAGTGTAATCTACAATGCGTCAACTCACCCTCGTTGGTGTTGAGCGGGCAGTACTTGGCGGCGTGTAGTGTAATCTACAATGCGTCAACTCACCCTCGTTGGTGCTGAGCGGGCAGTACTTGGCGGCGTGTAGTGTAATCTACAATGCGTCAACTCACCCTCGTTGGTGCTGAGCGGGCAGTACTTGGCGGCGTGTAGTGTAATCTACAATGCGTCAACTCACCCTCGTTGGTGCTGAGCGGGCAGTACTTGGCGGTATGAGCGCGCGGTCCACGGGCGCCGCAGCGCGGGCAGGTGAAGGCGCGCAGTACGGGGCACGCGACCCCGTCCGCATCGCGCAGCGGATGACTGCGGTAGTACGACAGCCGCTCGCCGTTGTTCTTACAGAACCGACACTCCTGCTGTACACATTATTACGACCATTTCCATACTAGACAACTAATAGAAAGAAAAATAATCTTTCAAATTATAATTCTTCCTTAGTATGTATTTCCAAAAAAATAACACAAGGTATGCTTTGCTTGGTATCAGAAGCCACTGTGTGAATTGTCCAGGGTTATAAATAAATTCAAACTTTCAAATTTTTGTTTGTAAAATATATGGTGATTAATTTCTATCAAAATTAACTTGGTTTGCGGCCAACAGCATTAGGGTAGTCCGAAAAAAGCGCCATGTAATCCCAAGCTAAGCAGAGCTTGTGTTATGGGTACTAGACAACTGATATAAATACTTAGATATATTTTTAGTAAATACACACATAGTATACATAAAAATCATCCATATCAATACAAACATGAATACAAATGATTATATGGTGCGAGGATCGAACCCGTGTCCATCGAAAGTAGAAGTGTTCTAATTCTTGTCAGTTCTTCTCATCTCGAAATCATTCCGAACTGACGGTAGATATGACATATCATAAGAGTCTGTAATAGACCTACTTGGATAAAGATAATTTGATTTGATTGATTGAAGAGCTGTTCTACTACACCACCTACCATCGTATATAGGCTACTGTTACCATTTACCATGAGGTCGGTCCACCCAGGGGTAGATCGTGAATTTGGCGTTTGTATCCTCGGGGCCCTGGACTGCAGCCCAAAAAGCCCTTAGGAAGATCCGCCCTTGGGTTAAATTGTTTACCATTTCATTTGTATAAATGAACACTTACTTCAGGGACTCGTTTCTTGACTCGTTTCTCGCCACAGATCTGCTCGAGCTCCCTCAGCAGCGAGTATACAACATTCAACGGCAGTGACGAGAGAACTCTTAGTTGTTCTGGCGTGATGGTATCATCCCTCATACCAGCAGACATGTTGTTTGTTCCTTCAACAACATCTTAATCATCTTTACATAGTATAAAACAAAGTCACTGTCGCTGTCTGCCCGTCCCTATGTACGCTTAAATCTTTAAAACTACGCAACGGATTTTGAGTCGGTTTTTTTAATAGATAGAGTGATCCAAGAGGAGGGTTTATATGTATAATATATGTACACGCGGGCGAAGCCGGGGCGAGTAGCTAGTAATATTATAAACGCCAAAATTTGTGAGTATGGATGTTTTCTCTTTCACGCAATAACTTCTGAACGGATTTTTGATGAAACTTTACAATAATATAGCTTATGAATCTGAATAACACAGACTATACTGTAAGTTGAAATTTTTATATTGTAATTAAACGCGGATGAAACAGCGAGCATAGCTAGTATACGGCACGGCATAAGCTTTCTTCATCCTCGACTGGTGCTTCGTCAGCGTAAGCCGTTAGCATCATTCCATTGTAATCCATAAAAAACCTTCAATATAAAAAAATATCCTTCAATATGCTGGGATTGTTAGTAATGTGGACTATTGACACTATTGCTAGCAATGTACCACGTCAGATTGACCTCCATGGGGTTCCCCCTGGAAACCATCGTGATAAATTCCTGCTGAATTTGCCATGATTAGACTAACTCACCTAACCTCATGCTCATCTTATCAGCCTTTACTGGTGTCCAGCGTAAACCGTTAGCGCTGGCGGATGCACTATTCCATTATCATCCATTAAAAATATTTCAGTCATGAAGGGTAGAGGCATTGTTAGTAATTACGTAACTCATTGTAACTGACCACAGGGTCACATGAGGTCAGGTCAGTCAGTCATAAGCATGAGCTCATGCTCACTCATTAGTGCTAGCGTATGCACGATTCCATTATGATCTATAAAGAAACTAACCTTCATTAATGTATGGGACAGTTCCATTGGTGTGAGCTGCAGCAGTGGGTGCTGTGAAGTCAGTCCTCGGGGTCCACTGCTGGTTGGTCTGAGGGAGCGGCATGGTTGGTGTACTCTCGGGCTCCGGCCACGACTTCTGGCGAAGGTACATGCTTGACTGGCACATACCTATCATGTTCCCTTAAAAGAATAAGATTACTTTATTAATGTCTAGTAAAAACATTTACATTTATTTTTTTTTATCTCAGGACAATTCACACGGCGCCACCTAGACCCACGTTAAGCACCTAAAGCTTGTGTTATGGGTACTAGATAATTGATACAAGTACATAGATATATTTTTTTCGTAAATACAAATACATATTATACATAGAAAACACCCATATCGATACAAACAATCATACTCATGAATAGAAATATTTGTACCGTGCCAGGAATCGAACCCGCGACCATCGGACGTAAAGCGGTGTGCTAGACCGCTATACCACCAAGGTTGTCAGTAAAAACATTGTACATAAGGTTGCCAGATGTCCGGTATTTAAGCGTACAGTCCGGTATTTTCGAGGCCTGTTCGGTAAAAAATAAATGGTCATACCGGACAAAACAATGTCCGGTATTTTGAGGAAAGTCGGAACTCGGTGTTTAGAAGCCTCAGTAGAAGACCTAAAAATAATAATAATGTCCGGTATTTTGAGGAAAGTCGGAAGTCGTTGTTTAGAATAGAATAGAATAGAATAGAAAATAACATTTTTTTTTTAATCTACCGCTCATTTGGAATGCTGTCTCATCACAAGAAGAACAAGCAAGAAACTTGTGTGTTGCTCTTTTAAATAATTTATTCTTACTTACAATTTAAGTTTAAGTGTGTGAATACAAACCACCGATTAGCACTAATTCAATGAAATAATAAAATAGAAAAAAAACATTCAATATACAACAACTGGTTAAACAATTAATAAGAGAAAATAAGTCATAGTGATTAGAGCAGACCAGTCCACACAAGCAGCACCCGTTCACGAGTATGACGGATGAGCCAGCCACCACTGCGCTCGACCATATTTTAGGGAGCCCTAAGCTATTTTAGAATTTAGTTTAGAGGTTTCAGTGGAAGACCTTCAACGCGGTCTGCCAACTCTGGACCAACTAATTGAATTGTGTACTCTAACAAGAACCAACGATACTCCACCGGAAGAACTCTACTCAGAGTTGGCTATACTTAGCACCAGTTTACCAGACCCTGGAGGGAAAGTCAGGGGATATGGTGCAGCTTTTTTAGTAAAGAATCGGCGCCAATCTTCTCAAATTGGTCCAACATGTATGCAGTACACAGTGGCCTCGGACAGTGCGGTTTCAGAGGAGCTTCATCCTGCGTACACTTACATTGTGGAATGAACTACCTGCCGAGGTTTTATCACGAGACTACAGCATGGGGTTTTTCAAGAAGGGTATATAAAGGTTTCTTAAGGGTCAGCAACGCGCATGTAACACCGTAGTGTTTCAGGCGTCCATAGGCTACGGTAACCATATACCATCAGACGGGCCGCATGCTTGTTTGCCACCATCGTTGTACAGAATACGAGTAGTATCACAGATTATAAATTAAAATATTTTTAAATACCAATTAAAATTTTTGTTTCTTAATAAAAAAAATCTAAAATGAAACTAACTCAAGTTGCTTCTTATAACATTAGCTATATAAGAATATATAAGTAAATAAGTAATATAAGTCCCGTCAAACACGGTGTTACCGTTTCAGAGATTAGCAAGAGCAAACAGACAGACATAAATTTTCTAAATTAATTTTTAATGTAAGTATCATATAAGTTACATATGTCTGCAAATATCATATGCATACATATGTTACTTCACATGCATTTAGTTTACAAACAGACGCTATAATTTGTTTGTTTGTATAGATTAAGTTGAAAGATGACTGCATGCAACTAAAATGCGAATGTTCAGATGGATGTGTGGTGTGACAAGAATGGATAAGATAAAGAATGAATACATTAGAGGAAGTATGAAAGTGGCGCCGGTGTCGGAGAGGTTGAAGAGTAATCGTCTATCGTGGTATGGACATGTAATGCGTAGGAATGAGGATAATATTTTAAGGAAGGTGTTACATATGAATGTGGATGGTTATAAGGGCAGAGGTAGGCCGAAAAAGAGATGGATGGACTGTGTGAACGATGATATGGTAAGAAAGGGAGTAAATAACGAGATGACTGCGAACAGGGGCGAATGGAAGAGGACAACATATTACGCCAACCACAAATAAATGGGATAAGGAAGAAGCAGATGATTATGTATAATAGAATAAGTACACAAAAATAAAAGTAAAAGTCTTTCAAAACTCACCCGATTGTAAGTTGCATGTCTTCTCTTCATCTGGGTTGTACGGAGAATCGAACCCGTTCTGTCTGAACTCCTCCAATGCGTCTTCCAATGTGCTCCGCTTCATAACCACTGTAATACGAGACATTATCCTTACTAAGATTATAAATGCAAAAGTAACTCTGTCTGCTTGTCTGTCTGTCACGCTTTCACGCCAAAAATACTGAACCAATTTAAATGAAATTTCATACACAGATAGTTTAGAACATGAAAAAGGACATAGACCACTTTTTTATGCCAAAAAAATGGTAGTATGGGTTGCAAAAGGAGATGGAATGTTGTATCTAAGTAACGTCATGCTTGAAACTTATTTTATAGGCTGTTGATTAAATATAGATAAATATGACATTCGAAGTTAGTAACAATTTTACCCTTAAGGGGTTATAATAAAATAGGGGATGAAATTTTGTAGGGATATTCGTTCAGAATAAATCATTTCACGTACAATCCATATAGCTGGATGATTTCTGCGGTGGATGCTGTTCATCTTGGATGTTTGAATTTGACGCGCGCAAATTCAGTTGACCTTCCCACGATGAGAACTGCAAGTTTATAAATATTTTAATTTATAAATAAAATTTTGTACAATAATCTTGATTTACTTATTGCTTATCGTATGAATAAATATCTGAATTTTAATGTTACTCTCCGGCGATGGAAACACCGATAACATACCGAAATTAACCGATTATTGCGTGGTGATCGACACGCCTTTATATTCGAATATACCCAGAGAAATGTGGAAAACTTAAGTATTATTTTACCATTCAGTCATTCATTCATTTGTCAACAGTCAGTCATAGCTGACTGTTGACAATATATCTGTCTACCCCATCTGCGATTTATAAACCTACTTATAGTATAACATAATTATGTGATCGAGACTGTAATAGGCTGGTTAAAACGAGACGTGTTTCATTTTAAACCATTTGTTAGCTGAGGCAAAATATTATATTCAGCTATATCTTTATATGTAAAAATTATGTGTCACGTTGTTTGTCCGCGACGGACTCCTAAACTACTGAACCGATTGCAAATTTGATTTTCACATTGTGTGCAATTTGATCCAACTTGAAAGATAGGATAGCTTACATCTCAATTTATAGTCGCTATATTAATTTATTGCAAATTATTTGTCTATTATTGGCCATAGCAACGCGTGGTCCGGCTTTGCTAGTACCTATAATAACAGCAATTAAAATAAAAACAGGACGTCAAAAAATAAAATACAAAAATATATAAATAAAAACTATCAAAAAGGTTGTCTTCGGCAACAACATATATATAGGTATAGCTTGAAAGTATTAAATAACATATAAAAGGTATATATTCCTTATAATCGCCTACCATATATTCAGACATAACATTCGAGTTAGATGCAAATTATAGTGTTGGAGTGTTATAAAAATGTAAACAAAAAAGGAACGTGCACAGAATCAAAAAATGTTCTATGAACGTATGAATATATGCTTTTGACTTTAAATTAAAAAAAAAAGCAGTTCAGTTCTAATTATAAAATTCAGCTTTTGTCAATAAAGATCACATCTTACTAATAATAAAAACGTGAAAGTTTGTAAGTACTCTTTCACGCAAATACAATTGAACGTATTTTGATGAAACTTTACAGGAATATAGCTTATACATCAGAACAACACATCCTTACTAATTATAAATGCGAAAGTAACTCTGCTGTCTCGCTTTCACATCAAAACTACTGAACCGATTTAAATGAAAGTTGGTATACAGATAGTCTAGACCCTGAGAACGGACATAGGCTACTTTTTAATGCAAAAAAGGGTTGTAAGGGGTTGAAAGGGGGGATGAAGGATTGTATGGAAGAATCGTAATTTTTGAAGTTAGAAACTTGAAACTTATTTTTGAGGCTGTTGATTAAATATAAATAAATATGATATTCAATGTTTGTAAAAAAATACACTTAAGGTGGTAAAATGAAATAGGGGAAGCAAGTTTTTATGTAAATTCGTCATTTTTTAAGCTATAATGATGAAACTATTTTCATTGTTTTTTTGGGTTATTTTTTAAATAGGTACCCTATATATTTTTTCATTATTTACGCGGATGAAGTCGCGGGCAAAAGTAGGCTATAAATTTCATGCGAGTGAATCCGCGAGCATAGCTAATTGTTTCATAAAGCAAGCGGCAACGCTTTATTTCGTCAACTTTATTAACATACCTACCCTCAGGACTCAGGAACACATTCATTCGTCTTTAAAATAAACAATAAAATCATATAACGCCGACTGTATTCACACCGACATATAAATACCATAATGTAAACAAATAATCCGTTGGCAACAAAAAAAAGCACACACCGTCTATTTGAAACACGATTCCTGTGTTGACAAGTCGATACGTAATCTAAAAATAGAATAAATTAGAAATATTATTAAATAGTAACATGTATGAAATACTTACAGAATTAAAACTGCTCGCGCTGCCGTAATCACTAAAATTATTGTGACCCATTTTATTTAAATTTCCTCGTATTTAAAATCTTTAATGAATTATCCACGTCTGTACACGGTCATAACTTTAACAGGAATGTTATGAGTATATTAAACTGAACTACTCGTTTGTATTGAATAGGTTTTGTTTGAGGGAGCGACGGTGATATGCAAAAAAGTACTTTATGCTAATATAAACAAATATCTTATTACAAAACTGTTAGTTGCAGGTAGGTCGGCGAAAAATATAAGGAGGTAGGTAGGTACTGTGTTTACGGGAAGGAGTTTTAACATAATAATTTTGTTGTATTGGATTTGCGTTTAAATATCTATTTATTGTCTCAACATTACGATTCATATTTTTATGTAGTTACATAGGACATTTTATTTATTGATAGTTTATTCCAGCCCAGTATCTAGTTACTAGTTTAGAGAAAATATATTGTTTAGATAAGTTTTTTTAATGAATGAAAATTGCAATGAAATTGCGATATAGAATCCAATTATGGGGTAATAAGGTAAGTTTCTATTATAATGTAAATTCTGCTTTTGTGATTCAAAAAAGGGCAATTAGGACAATAATGCGCATTCCACAAAGGGATTCATGTAAGAATTATTTCAAAGAATTAAGAATTTTGCCAGCGCCTTGTTTGTACATTTTGGCGACTGTTTGTAATTTGATGAAAAACTTAACCCAGATAGATACTAACGAAGAAAGATTCATCCGTGAAAGTACTTACTAGGAGAAAAGATCTGCAATCCCAAATGATTCCTCAATTCACAATAGTTACACACAGTACGAAATATCAATATGTGAAATTGTTTAATAATTTACCAATACATCTAAAAACTGTTTATAGTTTCACATTGTTTAAGTCCAGATTGAGGTCATATTTATTGAATAAGTGTTACTGTAGATGACTATTATAATGATGGACATAAAGACTTATGAGGACCTACTGCACTATGCTGGCTGACAAAAAATTACTGTAATGTTGCAATTATGTTATCCTACACAATTTGTATTGTTTTGGATGAATAAATAAAATAAATAAATAAATGATACGGATTTTTTATGGATGATAGTGGAATGTTGCACCCGCCTGCGCTGACGATTATCGCTGGCGGGGCATCAGTGATGGATAGGATGAGGTCAGGTCAGTTAGCCCATCGTGTCAAATTCTCTAGGAATTTATCACGATGGTTGCCAGAGGGAACCGAGTCGAGGTCAACCTGACAGACATGGTACATTGATAACAATGGGATCATCTGTCCACATTACCACAGATCAGTATTGACAACGATAAATATGATGTACATAGGCATTGTGAGGGGTATCTAAGCGTATGAATACGTTGGTATTAATTTTTCAGTGGATGATTCATGAAATGGTGCATCTGCTTGCTCTAACGATATACGCTCGTGAGGCACTAGTGTAGAATATATAGTAAGGTAAAGGTGAAGTTATTTCTAAAATAAAAGTAGCCTAAGTTAATCCTTATAAAATTAGATATCTGCGAGTGGAAATCCCGTCAAAATCGGTACAGCTATTTTAGAGATTAGCAAGCAGACCGAAAATTATTTTAAAATTACTTTTTTGATGTAAATACCGTATATATTTCATGTGCTTGTGGTGAAAAGTTGTTAATTTGAAAATTCACTTTTATTTAATTCAAGTCTTATTCATAAATACAAACAAATGTTTTGTACCATACGAGGCATCAACCTGCGATAATCGGAAGCAAAACGGTGTGCTACAGCTAGACGATCGAGGCCGAGATTCTTTGTATAGTGTTGGGTGTTTTTTTATGTACTACTTATAACACAAGCTCTGCTTAGCTTGGTAATAGAAGATACTGTGAGAATATCGTGGGTCATTATTATATTCTTTTATGGCACAAATATTACCTTAATAATATAATTTAAAGGCCATGTGAGCAATTGTGGACTTATCCCGAGAAGAGATCTCTTCCAGTGAACACAAATCAGTGACATATATGGTACTGAGTGAGTAATAATTGGTGCAAAAAAATGTTATAATTAATATTACTATTAACTTGTTGTACTTGTGACTTCGTCCGCGTGGAATTTAACTTTATTTTTCTAAAATAAAATGTTTTTTCTAAAAGTAGCGTAAGTTACTCCTTATTAAATCAGCTACCTGCCAATAAAACTCCCATCAAAATCGATCCAGCCATTTCAGACAGAAAGACGAAAATTGTAAAAAATGTTATTTTACCGTATTTATATTCATATGCATGTAGTAAAAAACGGTTATTTCAATATTACAAACAGACACACCAATTTTATTTATATGTATAATGTTCGCACGGAACATTTGTTTTCATGAGTATGATTGTTTGTATCGGTCTGGGTGTTTAACTGTTTATGTATTTAAAAAAATAATATCTATGTACTTGTGTCAGTTCTCTAGTATTTACAAAAATCCATAATGTACAAGAATCCATAACACAAGTTAACTTGGGTCTAGATGGCGCGCTAGAGCAACACACGTGTCTTGCTCATTCTTCTTATAATGAGTCTGCGTTCCAAATGAGTGGTAGAATCAAAATATGGCTATTCGAAAGTGCTTGTAATGAGTTTATTTGAATAAATATTATTTCTATTTCTGTGTGAATTGTTCTTTGGTGCCGTGGAGTGCCGGCGTGTAAAAATAAAAGTCAATATTTAACATAGTTTTTATTAGAGCCTCTATGATATGATAACATGGGACCTCTAAATAAACAATGAGCTGTGCGTATTTATTGTCTCAGACTACTGTCCATAAGGTTGAGATTCCAACACACACTCAGTAGTTCGAATACCTATTCAGCCAGCAAGAGGCACTTCTAATAAAAAAAAAATATTTCTTTAATTTTCATACAGGCAATGATCATACCAAACCTTGTTTTTGTGTTGAATAGATTTTTTTTTAATTAATTTCAGTGTTACCATCACTAAAATTGATATTCAACCTATTTTTCGTTACGAAAGAAACAGCAGAAATGATATTCAAACTATTCAGTATAGTGGCAATGAAAAGTAAATAATTCATGCATAAATTGTTGAATACAATTAGTTGTTTGAATACAAATATGCATGAATATTCCCGTTCGCAAAATTACATATATTAATGTCGAAATGACGGTAGAAATTATATTTTAACTACGGTGTGTTAAAGTCCCAAATCGTGTAACAACTGTAATGTAAATTGAACACGACAAGATACGTGTGTTTTTTTTTAATTTATTTCTTTAATAAGAATATACATGTGTGTTTTTTTATTAGGAATACAAAATGTTTCTTCATGGATTCAACATCTAATTGAGTGAGGCTTCTAGTTGGCGTCTCCGAAGTACTCTTGGGCCGCCTTGGTGTCAGGCTTGATGGTCTTGGAGCCTGGCTTCCAGTTGGCTGGGCACACTTCTCCATATTTGTCGGTGTATTGGAATGCTTGTACTAGACGGAGAGTTTCTTCTACAGATCTGTGAATCGAAGAATAATATATTTTTACTAGCTGTTACCTGACTCCGCCCGCGTGGAACGTACTCCATAATTAAGTCTTAAGCTATAATTTAACTATGTTCAGTTTGTTCTAAAGTAGATAAAATTTCTAATGAGTCTAAGTTACTCTTTATAACATCTAATTACGAGTGAAAATCTAGTAAAAATTTGTTAAAATCAATCAATCAAATTCAAGCTGTTTCAAAGATTAGCAAGATTTTTAGGAGTATGAAATTTGGCACACTTATATTTATAACAGCTTATTACATATATAACAGCTTGTGCCCAAGGGTTTCAGCCGCGTTAAATTTATAGCCTATATGTTATTCTGATGTATAATATATACTATTATATATAATATATTACTACTAGCTGTCCCGGCAAACGTTGTTTTGCCTTAAAATAAAAAAAAAAATTTAAGGGTGGACTACCCCTAACATTTAGGGGGATGAAAAATAGATGTTGGCCGATTCTCAGACCTACTCAATACGCTCTCAAAATTTCATGAGAATCGGTCAAGCCGTTTCGGAGGAGTATGGGAACGAAAACTGATACGAGAATTTTATATATAAGATAAAGTCTAATCAAAATACGGTTTATAGTTTTTGGTGAAAGAGATGGTTGTTACCATCCATACTCACAAACTTTCTTTTTTTAAAACATCGCCTGAGGCATGACGTCCTCTCGTGTAGTGGTTTAGCACACCGCCTCACGATGGTAGCAGGTTCAGATTTTGGTAACATTTGTATTCATGATCTTATTCATGAATACAAATGTTTGCACCGTGCGAGGAATGGAACCCTTTATTATATATGAATTTAGAAATAAAATGTATTTAAGCATTTATATGTATGTTTTATTGTATTACTAGCTGTGCCCGCGACTGCGCGTGTTACCTTGACTAAATGAAGAAAAAATATTCATAATTTAATAAAAAAAAAACCCAATTCACAAAATAATAAATTTCCATACAAAATTTTCATCCCCTTTCAACCCCTTACAACCATTTTTCGCATTAAAAAGTAGCCTATGTCCTTTCTTAGGGTCTAAACTAACCGTGTACCAAATTTCATTTAATTTTATAAACATCAGTTGTCCAGTACCATTAACACAAGTTCAGCTTAGCTGAGACTAAAGAGAACTGTATGAATAGTTTTTTTTATTAAAAATAATTCATATATAAGAATTATTTTTAATAAATAAACTATTCTTATAATAAATATGTTATTAAAAATAATTCTAAAACCAGTCTTTAAGTCTTCCATATACCCTTGGACTTTCCAGAAAGTTTCAATGTTGCAATTAGATAAAACAATATCAAATTCCTCAATTACTTATCGGCGATCAGACGGATGTAAATCAATCAAATATGCCAGCAAACGGTGTTATCGTATCGTAAATCGTAATTATAGTATTCAGATTACGATAATGTTCAATAAATCGTAAAATTAATAGTAAAATGATTATATAATTAGTGACACAAATGTAGGTTGATACTGCTTATCAGTATTTTAGCACGATAACGCACTAGTATTATTTTCACACATTATTTTTACATAGTATAAAACAAAATACGGGCATACTGCCTAAGGCATGGAATAACTGTATAGTCGTCCTGTTTCACAAGAAAGGAGTTAAAACAAACCTGAAGAACTACCGTCCAATAGCACTTCTTAGCCAGGTATATAAAGTATTCTCTCGAATTCTTACTTCAAGAATGACAAGGAAGCTAGACGACCACCAACCTATAGAGCAGGGGGGCTTCAGAAGTGGCTAGAATACGATGAATCATATATTCACAGTTAGGCAAGTGATACAGAAAACAAGAGAATATAACCGACCACTCTACCTTGCTTTTGTGGATTATGAGAAGGCGTTTGACTCTGTGGAACATTGGGCAGTGTTCGACTCCCTTCAGCGTTGTCAAATAGACTACAGATATGTCACATTGCTGAAAAATCTATATAAATCAGCAACCATGACTGTGCGATTAAGATCACGAAGCCAAGGTCGAAGAAGAGGTATGGGCCTAAACATCGACGGTCAATACCTAAACCACCTCCGTTTCGCCGACGATATTGTGCTGTTGGCAGAAAACCCAGAAGACTTAGCTAAAATGCTCGGTAGCCTAAGTGAAGTATCTGGTCGAGTAGGCCTAAAGATGAATCTGCAAAAGACTAAGTGGATGGGTCCCTCAAACACGATATCGGTTTCAATTCAGGGAACCACCTTAGAACACGTGGAAGAATACATCTATCTAGGCCAGAAAGTCCGACTAGATACAGATCTGCGTCCTTGGACGCAGAGTTAGACAGGCGAATTCAGCTAGGATGGGGCGCTTTTGGGAAACTAAAAGATGTTTTTAAATCCAAGATCCAACTGCCAGATGGTCCGATGATATCAGGAAGACGGCAGGACCGACCTGGACAAGACACGCCACAGACAGACTGAAGTGGAAAATTATGCAAGAGGCATACGTCCAGCAGTGGACAAATATATGCTGAAAGAAAAAAAAAATAAAACAAAATTGATCCTCCTGTCTGTACGCATATATTTTTCAAACTACGCAACAGAAATAGAAATAGAAATAATCTTTATTCAAATAAACTTAATATAAGCACTTTTGTATAAAATAGTCAAGTTTTTTTTATTCTACCGCTTATTCGGAATGCAGATTCATCACAAGAAGAATATGCAAGAAACTTGTGTGTTGCTCTTTTAAATAAATATTGATTTACTTATATTTAATTAACAACAAGGATTAGGCATGCGACAATCAACATAGAAACCGCTACGCACTTAATCTCTGTTCAATGGATATTAATGCAGTTTCAGCAACAGATTTTGTAGCCGATGTATTATTCTGAAGTTGAATATATTATTGTAAAGTTTCATTAAAGTCCAGTAATTAGTTTTTAAGTGAAAAAATAACAAACATATCCATCCATACACACTAACAAACTTCCGCGTTTATAATATTATTGAGAGTGATTCAAGGACTTATATTGAATAGCAATAATATTTCATGATAATCACAGCGCCGTCTAATAGTGATTGAGAGATTGATAGTGATTGAGTAAGCATTATAATAATAATACTAATAATTTGTTTGGTGATTTTTACCTGCAATGATAAGTCTATTACCACATCAAAGGGAGATATATAATAATAATATATATATATATATAATAATAAGCCTGTCCTTGTCTCTATAAAACTATGTCAGCTATAGCTGAGAAATAATATACATATATACATAATAATAATAATAATAATATATATTATTATTAATCCTGAGATTAATAATAATAATCTCAGGACATTCACACAGCGCCATCTAGACCCAAGTTAAGCTAGTTAAAGCTTGTGTTATGGGTACTAGATAACTGATACAAATACATAGATACATTTTTTTCATATTATACTTAGAAAATACCCAGACCGATACAAACAGTAATAATCATGAATATAAATGTATGTGCCGTGCGAGGAATCAAACCCGCGACCATCGGAAGCAAGGCCGTGTGCTAAACCACTAGACCATCGAGGTCGTTAAATTTATAATTATTGTAACCGCCGCGTGGAGGTCAACCTGGCAGACATTGCTAGCAATAGGTTCTTTAGTCTACGTTACTAACAATCCCATGTATTTATATACACCGTTTAACTTCAGAGGTACCGGGTTCGATTCCTCGCACGACGCAAACAGTTGTATTTATGACTTATATAATTGTTTGTTTCGGTCTGGGTGTTTTCTATTTAAAAAAAAATAAGGAAGAATTTGTTAGAAGTAGTCTAGTACCTATAACACAAGCTTTGGTTATCGTAGGTCTAGATGGCGCTGTGTTAATTGTCCAGAGTTATTTATTTATTTATATCAGTTGTCTAGTTCCCATAACACAAGCTCTGCTTATCTTAGGACTAGATGTCGCTGTTTGAATTGTCAACGGATAATCTATGGTGTACCACTTACCGTCCGACTGGCAGGTCGTTGATGGTGATCTGTCTCAGGTTCTGTTTCTCATCGATGATGAAGAGACCACGGAACGGGATGCCGCTCTCCTCGTTCAGGACGCCGTAGTCGCGGGAGATCTTGTGCGATTTGTCGCTGATGATTGGGATGTTCATGGGTCCGAGACCACCTGGAAAATATTACAAGACAATCTGTTTTATATGTGGTTATTAATTAAATCATTTTTTTTTTCAATCATTCAACGCGCACGTGGCAAACCTGGTGTTACAGGCGTCCAGTAACCGTTTACCATCAGACTATATATTGTAGGATTGCTACTATGGAAATATGATGGGCACGACTCACGACGTCTTTTATTGGTATTTTAGGGATAATAATAATTGTAACACTCTCCAAGAAATAAGACGCAAGACGGAACTGTGCTTTTTTTTTTTTATAACACAGGGGACATGCGGCTCACCTGATGGTAAGTGATTACCGTACCATGAGCACCCGCAACACCAGAGGAATTGCAAGTACGTTGTCGTCCTTTTAAAAAGGAATAAGCTCTTTTCTTGAAGGTTTCAATATCGTATCGTTTCGGAAATACCATTGCGGGAAGGTGATTCCACAATGAGGTTGTGCGTGGCACAAAGTTTCTAGAAAACCGCACTGTGGAAGACCGCCATTCATCCAGATGATCAGGATGGTATTTCAGCTTTTATTGAATATGTTCTCATAGACAACAATATTTCATAGATATGTACCAAAGACAACGGTATTCTATTGATATATATTTTTCGGATACTTATCACTATAACTTAACAGCTACCATTGTCCCTATACTTGTAATATTTCTGTCGACATTTGACCCTTCCATTAGTTTATGTCTCCACTAACATAGATTGAAGTTCAGTGTAAAATAAGTCTAAAGGTGACTGACATAGTGATCTATCAACCCACAGTCCAAACCACTGGACGGATCGGGCTGAAATTTGGCATGCAGGTAGATGTTATGACGTAGGCATTCGCTAAGAAAGGATTTTGATTAATTCTACCCCCAAGGGGATAAAATAGGGAATGAAAGTTCGTATGAAACTTTGTCATTTTTAAACCGATCGGGCTGAGACTTTGTATGCATAAAGCTACTATGACGTAGGCATCCCCTAAGAAAGGATATTGATAAATTCCACCCCTAAGGGGATAAATTAACGCGAGCGAAGCCGCGGACAAAAGCTAGTGTACAATAAATCGTGCAATCATTTTACCGGTATATTCACTACCATAATAAATAAATACTATAATAAATAATATAGTATGTAGCGCCACCTCATCACAGCATATGTAACGCTACAGTGATGAGGCTAACCACGGCGCTACAACATCATAGTGTAAAAAAAATGTATGTCTATCACAGTCTCTTATGATATGTCAAATCAATATTTTTTAGCAAAGACAGTGTGAGGGTTGCCATTCGTGTAAAAAAGTAAATAACTACCGATGATGTTATCCAAAATAAGCAAAGTAAAGAAATAGCCTTTTCAACGTAAAGTAATTCAAGAAATAGCTTTTTCAAAATAACATTTCACAGCACGGCACAGCTAGTACCCAAATAAATACATACCCTGTTTGCGTGGTGTGTTGATCCAGGCCAAGTGTGTGAAGTGAGAGTCGGTGGAGGCTGCGATCACCTCGCATCCGATCTTCCTGAATTCGTCAGCACCTTCAGAGAAAGCGATGATCTCCGTTGGGCATACGAAAGTGCTGCGGAGAGAGAGAGACAGTCATAGTTTTGTCAATTCCATGTACAAAGATATTAGTTCGCGAGTCGATGTCGCAACTACTGAGGCCTTTTTTTCTGTATTTTTTTTTATAGCTCAGAGGACCATTTCTTTATATTATGTGTCATCTGTCTCGTTATCTACGTGCACATAGTATGTAGGTGACATTAATCTGTAGCCATTTATGATACAATGGGATCGTCAGCCGTCAGCCAGTTAGATAAATGTGGATGGTTATAAGAGCAGAGGAAGGCCGAAAAAGAGGTGGATGGACTGTGTGAAAGATGATATGGTAAGAAAGGAAGTAAATAACGCGATGAATGGAAGAGAAAAACATATTACGCCGACCCCAAATAAATGGGATAAGGAAGAAGCAGATGATGATGGGATCGCGTCAGCCGGCAACATTCTTTTGAATTTTGATAAAAAACTTTTTAAAAGAGCCACACACGTTTCTTCTTGTGACGAGTCTGCATTCCGAATGAGTGGTAGAATGAAAAAAAAGTGACTATTCAAAAGTGCTTATATTAAGATTATTTGAATATAGATTATTTCTTTTTTACAACACTTGACAACCCCACATTTCGCTCGGTACATGGAATCTAATTCGAAAAATCTCTTGTGACACCCCTGGTGTTTCAGGCGTCCATAGGCTACGATAACAGTTTACCATCAGATGGGCCGTAAGCTTGTTTGCCACCATCGTACTTTAAAAGAAAAATTAAAGTATCATCAGATGGGCCGTATGCTTGTTTGCTACCATCGTACTTTAAAAGAAAAATTAAAGTATCATCAGATGGGCCGTATGCTTATGTCTCCATCGTACTTTGAAAGAAAAAGTAAAGTATCATCAGATGCGCCGTATGCTTATTTGCCACTATCTTACTTTAAAAGAAAAATTAAAATATCATCAGATGGGCCGTATGCTTGTTTGTTTCCATCGTACTTTAAAAGAAAAATTAAAGTATCATCAGATGGGCCGTATGCTTATTTGCCACCATCGTACTTTAAAATAAAAATTAAAAATAGCAAAAGTCGAGCCTATCGCTGTCTCGCGGATTAATTTTGATATGATATCGACATTCCAGAAATATAAATTGACAAGTTTTTTTTGGCATCCAGATATGAACTCACGACCTCCTGAGCGTAATTCAATGTGTTAAGTCACTGAACAACGACGCTGTCATTACTGAAATTTCATAACTACGTTGATTAATAGTGAGCGATACATTTTCTAGTACAATCTATTTTATTTACATTTATTTATCATCGACTTTGAACGCGATAAGCGATTCTCGACCTTTTAGTACAAGTATCAGTGGCATATATGACAATATCATTCAACGAACTGACAACCTATACATACATGTAAAATTGGAGTGTCTATTTGTAATTTCTAAATAACCATTTTTTACTACATGCATATGATAATAAATACGGTACATAAACCAAAATATCATTTTTTTATATTTTTTGTCTGTCTGACGTTTCAGAGATTAGCCGGAACAAACAGAGTTATTCCGGCTAATCTCTGAAATGGCTGGACCGATTTTGATGGGACTTTTTTTGGGAGGCATGTTATATAATAAGGAGTAACTTTTATTTTAGAAAAATAATGTTAAATTCCACGCGGACGAAGTCGCGGGTACAACTAGTATTCAATATAACCATAGTCACGTTTACACAATAGTCCAAATAAAATATTAAATTAAACATTCAAACTTTGGGAGAATACCAAATTTGAATTTAAAAATGAATCTGTATTATTGTAAACATATACAACATTTATTTGAAAAGAATACGAGCCGAGTTTCTCGTCAGTTCTTCTCATCTCGACATCAATCCAAACTGACGGTAGATTTGACATATCATAAGAGTCTGTAATAGAACTACATGAATATAGATATTTTGAATTTGAATTTGAAAATCATGATGTGATCAGTTTTGGTTATATTACAATAAGTCTGCAAATACGTGAATAATAAAATTCAGAAAGAAATTTTAAGTTAAATTTACGAGTAAGGAAAGGTATGAAAAAATAAAAAAAAAATGCCTTTTTTAAAAATAACTCGATAACGCAAAAAATTATGAAACCTTAAAAAAAAAAAGGAATTTGAATTGTTTATAACGACTGTCGGACTGATCACCCCATTATTAGCAATGTACCATGTCAGGTTGCCTTCCACGCATTCCTGAAAACCATCGTGAATTACCACGATGGGTTAAATGACCTGACCTCATTGCTCATCTTATCCTCCACTGGTGCCCCGCCAGCGTAAACCGTTAGCGCAGGAGGGAGAACCTATTGTAATTGGATAATGAAGAAACGTTTTATATTCTAAATTTGTATTTAAAATTTAGAGTTTCTTTTCTAGATTATTGTTTGTTACTTCACTTTCATTCTATTCTGTTATGTCAGTTGTCTATCTATATTAATAATTTCGTCAAGGGCCGTAAGACTCGAACGAAATCTTATGTGAATAACAAAACATAAAATAATATTGATTTCGAGTCGACAACATATATCTGCAAAATTCGGATTATGGAGTATTTCGTTAAATCCTAATGACACTGACAAACAAGCCGCAGTCGCCATCTTTTCATTTCACTAGCATTTTTTTAGTCGTGGACGTTTCGCGAAAATATTGTTTTTGACACTTTTTTATGATAAAAGAGTATGTGTTTTTTCTTAAAACCTGAAATTGGCTGATTGCGAGACAAATTTGGCATTTTTTTTATTAATTAGTTTTACGGCTCTGGATAAAAGTTCTTTTCAGCCCAACATAATGTTTTACAAAAAAATAAAAATTATTTGTTTAAAACCTTTTGCACTTTATATTTATTAAACACAATGACAAAGCTTTACAAATCTATGCCTTACTTACTTTTAATATTCCATGAGAACCGATGACTACAGAAATATCTACCCACATTTCACCCGAGCGAAGCCGGGTTTTTATCTAGTATATATTATGAGAAAAATACCTATAATATATTTTTCTCCGTTTACCTGGTCTTTTTTCGTATTATTACTTACTACATGAATAAACTACAACAGAACCACACTGTTATCATCCATTAAAAACACGAGTATATATCCATGACAATTCAATTATTTGCCGCAACTCTCAATTTAGAATACGTGTCGAATTTTAAAACTGGTTTTAAATTGCTACAGTACATGTGAGTGCAGGTTCGAAGATCGAAGGTGAAATACATTAGCATTGTGTACAAAAGCCGTGAACGAATTGTATATGTTCTCACGTTGGAAGACGCGAAATAAATCATTGTGGAAACTTCATTACTATCTTGTTAACATTAATCAAATATTATAGGTCTAACTATAATTAATATATATAATTAGTGATTAGTATTTTAAGAGAGTTAATTATTGATATGCTATTTTGCTACTTCTTCTTCTTCGTTTCAACGGCAACCAAATACATATATTTATATATATTTTCCTCAGAACGCCTCGACAACCCTTTCGCACTCCGTCGCATCTCTTAAGTCCCCCTTTGTGCAGACTGCTGGGCACAGAGGACAAGCCAGCAGGTGTGCCATAGTACCGGTCTGCTAGCGTATTTGTCTCTATGGGTTTCTTGTAGGCAAAGGACATTATTTTTATTGGATTGTTTGGGCTATTGTCAGATGTGTAGCACCTGTAGCACTGCGACCTACATAGATCTATTGTGCTCGCCCTTTTCAGAGTTCGATATAGTAAATATATACGAAATATACTGTAGCCTTCGCAAGTTCTAAACATGTTACTTGTCGGTTCCTATTTTAATATTAGTAGTAACTAGCAATCGAAAGTAATAATTGGTATATGAGAACTGGTCCGCCAAAAGGATAGATTTACAGTTAGAACTTGGCTACAGTATATTATCGTTTAAGTTATAAGAAGAATATTGTTTTATATTATATATATTTTATATTGTTATAAATACATTTCAGGACAGACCATTGAACTTGGTACCCATTTAGATCTCATCTCTTTTGTCGTAGAAGTCAACAATCAAGGTATATATCATAATATTAAACTCGGCTATCATTTCACATTTATGTTTTTGATGGGTTATATTTACTGCTATATATGTAATCCACTGAATATCTCCATCAATAATAAATACTTTACGTTTAAATTATTCCCTTGTAACATGGACGGTTTAGCATTTGCAGTTAGTCACCTCCGTAATTGAATTTAAAAGTTGCATATTAAAGTTAAGTTTTTTTTCCCTACCGTCGAGTTCAGTATACAGGTTAAATTGAGAAGAACTGACAAGAAACTCGGCTGAATTTCTCTTCATTTTAAGAGCCAGTTTGTTTGCATTGTACATCTATATAGGTGTCTATGTTTAACATTAAAAGAAAATACCGTGCATGAACAACTATTGCCATGCATGTTTGTCGTTTAAGTTACATGGAAACTTTCTCGTTTATATTAATTACTAGCTGTTCCCGCGACTTCGTCCGCGTGGAATTTAACTTTATTTTTCTAAAATAAAAGTAGCCTATGTTACTCCTTATCACATCAGCGACCTCTCAAAAAAAGTCCCGTCAAAATCGGTCCATTTCAGAGATTAGCCGGAACAAACAGACAGACTAAAATTGCAAAAAATGTTATTTTGGGGTATGTACCGTATGTATATTCATCATATGCACATGCATTATTACAATTTTTGTTTGTACTTATTGTTGTTTAACATTAGTAAAACCTAGTTATTTCAATATTACAAACAGACACTCCAATTTTATTTATATGTATAGATTTTTATATTTCCTTTCTCTTGAGACTAGATGGTTGGACGATTATTACAATTTTTGTTTGTACTACATTAGTAAAAACCGGTTATTTCAATATTACAAACAGACACAATTTTATTTATATGTATCGAGGTATAGATTTTTATAATTCCTTTATGTCTATGTCTAAAAAAAATAACCGTCCAACCATCTAGTCTCACTAGATGGTTGGACGATTATTTTTTTTTTTTTAAATAGGTATAGAAACAAAATTCATACTTACAAGTCTAGTGGGTAGAAAAACAAAACCACGTATTTGCCCTTGTAGTCCGACAGAGAGACATCTTTGAATTCACCGTTCACGACCGCCGTGGTCTTGAACTGGGGCGCGGGTTTGGTCAACTGCAGCGGCATTCTGTTAAAGCTGCAAAAACACACTCTATTAACATAGCCATAGGCTACAAATTACGTTAACCTGTCGAAATTGAGTACCGTTAATAACTTTCTTAGATTTGACTATATTCATAAGGTTCATTATAGGACAGTTATTTAAATTAGTCGATTCTAAAATTAGACGAAATAAAAATGCAATGAAATTTAATCTGTCTCCAAAATTAAAAAAAAAAAACTTCAACTGTTAACTTATACAAAATAATAAAGTAATGTTAAAAAAAAGTCAACGTTAAAAAAGTTTCTAATTATTTGTAACTAATGTAATTGAAAAAAAACTAAAGTAAACTACACTACAGAAGAACTAAAAATTTAACAATTTAAAATGTAGGTATCAATAAAATAAAACTCCAATTTAAAAATCATAGACCCATCTACAAATTCTAAAACTATATAACATTAAACCTACGATGTAAAAAAAAAATATTTCTCAACGACTAAATAATTAAGAATACCTATTAAATTATTCACTATATATCACAATACACAACACGTCCGTCCGTGAACTGTTCGCGGTACAACTGGCTGGATATAATGGAAGCACACTAGACGTTATCAAAGTCCGCAATATCACAGAATGACAATTGACAGTATAAAGTACACTGCAGATAAATCATGACTGTACATATACAGCTGTCAAATTGCTAGATATGTTTTTTAATACATTTAAATTTAGAAGTCTGTGAGTACTTTCAAATGACATAAAAAACGATAGAAGTTCTCAAAATCATGGGCTGTCAATTTGCAGATATTGTTTTTAATCAGGGATGTTATGGATATGAAATTTCGAATACGGATATGAAATAATTCGGATTATCCGTTAGTTTCGGATAATTTCGGTTACGGATATTAATTTTTTAAGGTATATTAAAAGTAAAATACAAATATAGCCAATAAAATGTATACATAAAGTGTCTCAATTAGTCTCCGCACCTATCCGATATTATCCGACACTTTTATTTCGGATTCGGTTATCGTTACGGATATTTTTTCATATCGGATATCCGATAGCTTCGGTTACGGTTACGGAGCTCCGTATCATCACTATTTTTAATACCTTTAAATTTAGAAGGCTATCAGTAGTCAGTACTTTAAAAGAAGAAAATGTTCAAAATTCATACTTCACCATCGGAAGTACAGCGGTGTGCTAAACCTCTAATTAATTTTTTGTTCTTTTTACGTCTCATATTTATGTAGGTAATAACAGATTTTATTTAAAATCTTCATACGTGTTTCTATATAAATTTGGTGAAGATTTCACCACTAGTTTTTGAGTTACCATTAATAACGCTATAGAAATAATTTTCGTCGTAGCCTGAACATAATAACATTCAGGAGTCATTTGTTTCAAATTGACAAATGTATATCCGATCTTTTCTATTTTATTAGAAATTCCATAAATCAAAATGAGACAAATGCTACTTACACTTAGGCCCTAATTTAGTTTGTGTCTATTGCTTTAGTTATGGTTCTAATTTAAAAAAAAAAAAAAACAAAATAACTGTGTTCCATTTTTAAAAGTTAAATAGTTGGGAGTCATAATAAGTCAAAATGTTCTTGTAATACATGTGTTTTGAATTTCGAACGTTGTGAAAAATATTCCATGAATTATTATTTTATTCGGATTATACTTTAATTATTGTTATGATTAAAAATAATCTGTCAACTTAATAAAAAAAAAAACAATTTAATATTATAAATGTAAAATTGTTTCTATCTGTTTATTAGCTAGCGACTAAACTGTTTAATGTGACACCCAAAACACTATCATTTCTCAAAAAAAGCAGTAAATGTCGCGAGTCAAATCTAGTACAAAGTAAAAAACCAGTACTACTATTATTTTAAACAAATATATCAACTCGACTAGAATGTCCTACACGAATAATGATATTTGATTTGTTTTGATTTGACTACAATCGGACCTATCAACCTCCAGACATCCAGGTAAATGTTCCGCTACCAAAACATGTACAGTATAATCGAGAGATGCTGTTCTCCTCCACAATTTGACCAGTAGTGTACCATTTCCATGGAACAAATGCTCAGTAAGTACATTGCATGTCAGCATATTCGAGAGTACAGCTTCGAGGTTATTGACCCTGGGAACCGTTTACAATGCTTTTGTACCAACCGGTTTTTGTCGGCAATCATCTTTGAAAGATAAAATTAATTTATATATCAATTATAAAAACGAATATAAGAAATAAGCGTAAAAATTTATAATTCTAAATTCATAATATTAAATTCATAAAAACAAATATAAAGACTAAATATAAAATCATTCATTCTAAATTCAAAATATTATATTCATAATAACGAATAAAAAGACTACACATAAAAATCATTAATTCTAAATTCAAAATTAAAAAAAGAATTTCAATAAAATTGATGTTCTCACATCAATTTTCATCAAATATGTTTCTTACAATTAAATAACATTATTAAAGTTTTTATAACACAGAAATCGACTAATTGTTTTACTAACACAGAGTGAAAACATTTCAACCAGTGCTCATTTTGAAAAGTTGCTAGAAACACGATAGTCTGTCCATATAAGCATGTTTATATTTTAGTAATATTCATGATTTTGCTAGAACAATGGTATTTTCAAAATCGTGTTGTACTTATAAATACATATATATGTATACATATATCATATGTATATGATATATCTACTGGTCTGTGAGATAAATAGCCTATTAACACTGAGGTTATATAGAAGGTTTAAGCTTGAATCTTATTTTTTAGGCTGTAGATTGAATATAGAATTATGTATGTAAATTTTCATTTTTGAAGCTAGAACGATGTAACTTTTTTATTGGGTTAGATTACTAAATATTTTTTCATTATTTGGTCAAGGTACCCGCGACTTACTCCGCATAAAATAGTATATTACGCGGACGGAGTCGCGGGTACAGCTAGTATTTTACAATTGGTAATTGCATGGAGTAGACAACGTTTTCACGATTTTCTAACATTTTATGAAACGATTAAATCTACTATTTACTCAAACTGTCAATTTGAACCTCTTTCAAACAAGAATTGCTAGCAACAGTTGTATATCAACAACTGATTTCCACTATACCATAATAATAATCTCAGGACTATTCACACAGCGCTATCTAGACCTAAGTTAAGCTAGCTAAAGCTTGTGTTATGGGTATTAGACAATTGATACAAATACATATATATTTTTTACATAAATACATACACATTATACATAGAAAACACCCAGAACGATACACACAATCGTACTCATGAATACAAATGTTTGTACCGTGCGAGGAATCGAACCCGCGACCATTGGAAGTAAGGCGGTGTGTTAATCCACTAGACCACCGAGGCCGTCAAACCATGTCTCATGTAGCTTGTGAAGTCTTTGGAATAACGAATTGTAAGTAGCTATGACGTGGTCTAGTGTTTTGAGTAGTCATGCTCACTAAAATGTCCAGACTTGTGGCGGCGTGGTGGGCCGGGTCATTGGGCTCCCTAAAATATGGTCGAGCGCAGTGATGGCTGGCTCATCCGTCATACTCGTGAACGGGTGCTGCTTGTAGTGACTGGTCTGCTCTAATCACTATGACTGATTTCCTTTTATTAATCATTTAACCAGTTGCTTATATATTCAATATTTTTCTATTTGAGTATTTAATTGAATTAGTGCTAATTGGTGGTTTGTATTCACACACTTAAACTTAAAAATGTAAAGTAGTAATAAAATTATTTAAAAGAGCAGCACGCAAGTTTCTTGCTCGTTCTTCTTGTGATGAGACAGCTTACCGAATGAGCAGTAGATTAAAAAAATGTAAAGACTATTCAAAAGTGCTTCAATGTAAGTTTATTTGAATAAATGATTTTCTATTCTATTCTATTCTAACGTCTAAATATGCGTATTTGAGTTCAATAGTGAAGGCATCAGTTTCCACAACCTCGAGGTTACTATTATACCTTGGGAACAATATGACAATGCAATTAGGTTTCAAACTTTCAAGTTATCTGCATTGTACTGGCACTTGGCACGAATATGCGTTTGTTATTAAACAATATACTCATATACATGTTTAACGACAATGTTTGTGAAAGCTCGGAAAATATCACTTGGAAAGCTTAAATTTATGAGATGCTAACTGTGCCCGAGACTTCGATATTTGTTAATCTAACCCAAAAAGTTAAAGAAAATATTCCATCGTTTTAACTTCAGAATTGACGAATTTCCATACACATTTTCATGCCCAATTTTATTTTAGTCTTTTAAGGGTAAAAATTTTACAAACTCTGAATGTCATATTTATTTATATTTAATCAATAGCCTAAAATATAAATATCATGCTTCTAACTTTAATAATAACCGTTCATCTCCCGTTTTAACCCTTTTTTCGCATTTCAAATTCAAAATATCTATATTCATGTAGGTCTAATACAGACTCTTATGATATGTCAAATCTACCGGCAGTTCGGAATGATTTCGAGATGAGACGAACTGACAAGAAGATCAGCTCGTATTCTTTTCAAATAAATATTGTACTTTAAAAAGTAGCCTATGTTCTTTCTCAGGGTTTAGATTATCTGTGTAGCAAATCTCATTTAAATTGGTTCATTAGTTTTGTCGTGAAAGCGCGGCAGACAGACGGACAGAATTACTATCGCATTTATTATATTATCACTGCTTATCTATACATATAAATTACATACACATACATATATGTTTTTACTACGTGCATATGAGTATAAATACGGTATTAACACCAAAATAACATTTTTTACATTTTTAGTTTATAAAATTATCGCTGCAAATTGGAATCAGGTGTGCAACTTTATCTATATAAGAAATTATCTATAGATAAGTAAAGTGAAGGACGATGATCACTGATCAATTTCCACGACCTAAATTTTAAAGTTAATTTTATACTTTATCTGATATTAACTTATTATTATTAATTCTCGCGATATAACTTATTTATCAACTTCCTATAC